TGGCACAGGGGGAGGGGAGGAAGCATGTTTAGTAACTGTTTATTTTACAGTTATAGGGTTTGTACAAATCTGCATTTACACGGGTATGTATAAGTCTTTGTACAGAGTGACTGAAGCACCCGAAGCGACCGACTCCTCCCGGGCCCCTCCTCTCCTCGGGGACAACGCAAGAACTAAAGTGCATCATGGCCAGAGAGCAGGGGGGCTGCAGGGGCTTCCCCCCAGGTGCGGCTCCAGCCATCCCCTCCTTCGGGACAGCGGGGCAGTGGACAGAGGGGTCTCGGGACCTCCGGCAGCACCCCCAGGTCACCACAGACTCTCCTGCACCACGAGTTTCTAAAGTGCTAAATGGCCCAGCTCTCCGCCCCGCACCGCTGCTGCTGCCCCGGGGAGGTGCTGAGGGCCAGAAACAGGCTCTGCCTTCAGCCTCGCTGGGAGAGGAGAGCCGTGGGCAGCCCCCGGCTCTCACCAGCGGTGCGGACAGCCCTGGCACGAGCCCCAGCAAGCGGCAGAGGGAACAGATCTCGCTGCCTGGCCGCTGCGAGAGCTGGTTCACACACTCCGGCCTTCAGCCTGCAGAGAAAAAGGGAAGTTCTCTGCCCAGAGCTTTACGGAAACACGGGTCAGGCGTGACGACTGCCCGCACGCACTCCAGCCAGCCCGGGGGCCAGAAAGGCACGGCCCCTCCAAGACGGGGGGCCCACAGGGCAAACCCCCAGAACTTCCCCAGCAGCTGTTATGAACCTACAGGCAGCAGGCTGGGACAGGAGCGTGCTGAGCTTTGCAGGGCATGACTTTTCTTCTCTATCCCAAAATCCATAACTCTTCAGCCAACACTGAATTTTCAGGTGTGCAGCCCCTGGGCACGGCACAGATGGCTTTGGGCACAACACAGCAACAGCGGGGGGAGCTGGGTGGGAGCTGTAAGGGACAGGTAAGGGCACTTGCGGGAGGTTTAGCAGCTTAGGGGAGAGGTAGAGGCATATAGTGTCTATTGGCTTTGTCTCAGTGGGACACCGAGTTGTCTAGAAGGATGTGCTGCTTAGCCGGGAGGGCAGGGAGCGCTAGGACTGTGAACGGGACAGAAGCTATGCAGGGATCAGGGGTGGCCTTTCCGGGAAACTCCCTCACTTGTGTTATTCCGAGAGGCGATGCTGAAGTCTGATCAGCTCGTGGGGGAGATCTATGACAGACTTCCTACCACAATGACTTCTGTCCTGTGCAAAGCGTTTCACAAGGTGGAAAAAAAGCCTTTATCCACCTTAGAGCCTGCTTCCAGAGCTGCAAAAAAAGTCTGCAACGGGGGTTTATGGTGCCTTATGGTGACGTGACCTGGCACATGACAGCACAAACCTCAGGCAGGGCGAGTGACACTCGTCTCTCACCTTGCTGACCCAAGATACAACCGCACTACAGCCAGTGAAGGAGCCCCAGTGACCAAGAGCTAAGCTCCCTCTGGCAGTCCCATGGACCTGCTCCTGTCTCCTGCCCTTCTCTCCTGTAAACAGATCAGGCTGAAAAGACAAGGAAGCAAAAAGAGCCAGGGAGTGTTACACACTGGAGAGTAGCTCATGGCAGGGTGCTGACAGGGGTTTGCAAAAGGTTTGGCTCTACTCAGAGGTTGCCTATAGGAAAGGGAAGGGTGGGACCACCGGTAAAGCTGAACGCAGATGGTGGGGCACGCCGGCAGCCTGCCCGGGAGCGATGCAGAGCCAGAGGGCTGCCCGGTTCCTCAGGTGTAACAGCCCTTCACCCCCCCACACGCACACACCCAGGCCAAACCCTGCTGTGACACTCTCCTCCAGGCGAGGATCTGCCCTCCCTCCCACTAATTTTCCCCAACGGGATTGTTCCGGCACAGCCCATGCATGGCTCTCCACTCGTACAGTCACCTGTGCGCAGCCTGAAAAGCCTGACTCGTCTGTACCTCCGGTTCCTCTCGAGACGGCAGCAGTGCCCATCTGCTCACCCCTGCACGGGGAGAACAAGGTGAGCGTCAGCACGGGGAACAATCCTGCTGGGCTGGTTCCCATCAGTCTCTGTTGCAAATGCCAAAAGCGTCACTGGACGCAGCAAGAATAAAAAATGATCTTCAGACAGGTCGTTTCCGGACACGTCCTTTCATCAAACATCACCCCTTCCCACCAGGGAAGGATGTGGTGACAGTGAAGCCCCTTCCTCTGGCTTCAGGGGAAAATCTGCAGTTCAAACTTGGGTGCCCACTCCAGTGCGCTCTTCACCACGGCGAGGGCAGCTGCTCCCAGCGCGACCGTCAGCCCCATCACCGCCAGCTTGACAAAGCGGTTGGTCCTTGGCTTTGTCAAGATGGATTTTGTCCGCTCCTCCCCTCGGAGCCGCTCCCTGAAGCGCTGCCTCAACACAGTGTCTGGTCTCTGCTGCACTGACGCCAACTCAAAGTCCTTAAAAGTGGAAGCCGCAGTTCTGCAAGAGAAGAAACCGGTCAAGGAGTGTCCCCAGCTCGCCTTCGGGACCAGCTTCCTGCCAGGGAGGAAGACATTTAGGAGGAAGCAAGACCTGGCAAGGGGATGCCCAGAACACGCGGGCAGACGGGCTGCCGTGCACTCACCGTTCAGCCTGCTGCTGAGCTGCCTCCCGGGCAAGTTCCGATGGTGGGAACTGGACAAAAAGGTCCCCAGCTCTGCTGATCAAAGTCTCGTAAGGAAGGTCCTGTGGGATCTGGGACAGGAGGTGGTGGACAGAGGCCATGTCACACTCACAGTCCAGAACTTCCTGCTCCCGGTACAGCACGATCTGCAGAGAGTAGCGAGAGCACTGAGGACAGCTGGGGAAGCGGGGATGACTCCTTGTCACTTGCTGGCACTCGCTTCAGAGCCAGAAGAGAAAAACATTTCGCTTCCAGCTGAAAGACCTGCCCTTCCTCAAGGGGACACACTCCAGTGAAGCATTCCCCATCTGGGAAGAGAAATGCCAAACCTTTCCTGAGACCCTGAGGTGATGGAAAGCCCCCTTCTGGGTAGTTATGTCTGTCTTCTGAATAGAGTCTGCTACTGGTAGGTCAGAGACATGGGTAGAACTTCAGCAGGGCTTGACTCCACGCCTTGCCTTCAAACAGAGGTTTGTTTGGATCCCCCATAGGAGCAAGGGCAAATGGACGCACAGCACAGGGCTGCCCACAGCCAGACGGGCTCCCCAGCACCCAAGCAAGGGCCCAGCAGTAGGGCCAGCACATGAAAGCGAAGAAAATCACCAGGTCATGCTGCCTCCATGGCACCAAACTAGACAGCCTGCACATCTGGATGCCCCCAGGCCACCCCGAGCTCTCCTGGATCCCATCTGCCCTCCACCACCACCAAGGCCTTGGGGGACCCCTGCAGAGCGGGTTGCAGCCGGGGACAGCAGCAGCACTGGGTCTGCCAGCCTCCCTCTGCAGCCCCAAACCACCACCACCTTGCAATGCTTCAGTTAATCCCCCTACACTCCAGCTGATACCTACCACAGCAGCAAAATAAATGGGCATCAGGGGATGGCAAGCCAGGAAGAAGTCATATAATCGCACGACGTGCCTGAAGTCGGACAAAACGTGCCCAAACCAGGTGATCAGCCAGCTGAGAGCAAAGATGGTTCCCACCTCCGCACTGCACAGAGAGAAGGTACTGTTAGCTCAGCTGCCACCAGCAGCTTGGAAACAGCGCTGAAACACTCCTGGGCGAGCCCTGCGCCACACCTCCCTGCCTGGGAGGGGAGACAGACCTGGCTATCAGCAGAGGATTCAGAGCTCAGCCCAGATCCATGAACTGCACCTCTGATAAATCCCCAAGGCAAAGTACGGCCACTATTCGTCTCACAGGCAGTGGGGTCCACAGCTGAGGTCCAACAGTCCGCTTTCAAGAGAACCTGAACGTGTGATGTACCACGTCACTGTCTGGCACGCTGATCTGAGGACACCTGAAGTCCTGCAGCACAGTCAACTTTTCAGATTCCTTTCCACCCTAAAGGCTTACTAACTTCTGGGAGTTCCTAATCAAGCTTAGTACCCAAAGACATCCAGACAGAATAAAACAGAAGCAGGAAGGAAATTGGGAATCACAGAATCATTAAGGTTGGAAA